GGGTTGTTGCGCTGTGTAGTCTGGTCGTTGTTTACCAACGTTTCAGAGGTCATACTGCCTCCGTCATCAGGGCATTGAAGGCAGCATGACCTCAGAAACGTTGGTAAACATCGACCAGACTACACGGCGGAAGAACCCAGAAGACAGAAATCTGAATGCGTTATGTGCTTTTAAAATTAATTCTGTTAGTTGTGATAAATCTCGTATGTTCTCTCTATCTCGCCTTGAATGATCTCTCAGTCAATAGTGTGTACTTTGTGATTCAGTCATGGCATGTTAACTGATAAATACCACTACTGTCTGTTTTTTTTGCTAGGGCTGGCTTTTTCTATTTTAAAAGATTTTAAATGGTACTGGACGTTTTGAAATATACGTCGATGTCAATGTTCTTAAATCACTTAGTAATTTTTGTGCTTTGTTTTCCGAAAAGCTTGGAAGTGGCCAATTTTTTGTTTCGTGTTGGATGTTGGCGTGTGTTCATTGCGTATATTATTTGCCAATAATTGACGACGGCTTATTGTGTTCGATGAATGACGGGTTCGATACGAAATGAAATCGACAGTCGTAGGTTTTCTGAGTTTATTATGTTGGTACTTATTTGTCCTTGTATCTGTCAGGTCCACGAAGTCTATTTGGTTATTGTTTTGGTTTCAATAGTGAATGTCAGCGAGGACGTAAAGAACTGGAGTGGTTCAGCCACTCCGGATGTCGTCAGCGAGCCTAAAATAACCGAATTTTGATGATGTCGCTGATTCGGCCAAAATGGCTGATGGGAGACCACCCATAACTAGTCCGTTAGTTTGCTTATAATGTTGATTAAATTGAAAGTAGTAATGTGTATTGTTGTTGTGATGGAATATTAATATATGGTCATAATGTTATGTTATGGATGCTGATGTGGGGAAGGTAAACGGCGTGATTAAGTACAGTATTTTTATTTTTTAGTGTTCTGTCTGACGACAGGTCCATATGAACAGGATCCTTCCATCCTTTTCTCGGACTGGGACCTGTTCATATACGTTCTTGGCAGATGATCCAGAAGTGGTTTGCCATTGCCTTCTTCTGTGTGTGAATGGAGTAATTGTTGGGATGCCACGGAGGAAAACTCCGTGTTGCCTAGACCACGGCCTTGCCCAACACAAGTTATAAATTCGGGCACCGCCGGGAATCGAACCCGAGACCCCAGGATTACAAGGCCAGCGTTCTAACCGCTAGATCACCGTAGTCTTTTAAGTACGGTTACAAGAAGTTTTCAGGGAGCATAAAGCCGGTTTATTGTGGGTCTGACGGGGTTTGGTCTCTAATTTATGAGGCTGTCGTACTGGGATTCAAAGGGTTGAGATTATTATGTTAGAGTTAACGTTCCTGGTAGATTATGCTATTACTTTTGTCAGAGACTCTGTGGATATGTCTTCTGCACTTCTTAGCATCAGAAGGTCGACTATTTAATGCATCAGAGTCATTAAAGTCGTTTTCTTGTTTTTCATTGTATTCATGTCCGTTCATGATGACTATGTTCTTACTACTACTATGAGCCGGCGTAGATCAGTCAGTATAATGATTGGCTACGGACTGGGGTTCGATCCCCGATGGGGGCAGAATTTTTCCTCTAGACTCTGCGTCAAGACCGGTTCTGGGGCCCACCCAGCCTATTATCCCATGGGTGCCGGGGTCCTTCCTCCCTGGGGGTAAAGCCGGCCGGGGCGTGATGCTGACCACTCACCCCCCTCTAATGCCGAGGTCAAGAATGAGTAGGAGCTATACCTCCACTCCACCCAAGCGCCTACATGGCGTGTAGTGGGACAGCTATACTTTTTACTTACTACTACTAGATGATAATCGGTTACTGTCTTCTTTACGTTGTGAAAAAAATATTTACGTCCATTTCAGAATTATTGTGTATTAGCTGTGTTAAATTTGAGAAACGTTGACATTTTCTTGCCTTAAAACTTACCGTGAGCCCGATCATCCGACACGCACGCCTGTCATTGAATGCCATAGAAAAATATGATTCTTATAACTAACTAACTAGATGGCTTACCGAACCCGAAGGTTCATCACCGAATTAACCAAAGCCCTCCACCGGACCCTGTCCTGGGCCAACAAAATCCAGTCTCCTTCAACTCCTATCTCCCATAGATCCCGCCTGACATTGTCCTCCCATCTACGTCTAGGTCTCCCCAGCGGTCTCTTCCCCTCAGGCTTCCCAACCAGTACCCGGTGCACACCTCTTGTCCCATCCATGCGCGCTACATGTCCCGCCCATCTCACTCTTCTCGACTTAATCACCCTCACAATACTGGGGGAGCAGTACAGATTTTTAAGCTCGTCATTGTGCAGTTTTCTCCACGCCCCATCGTCTTCCCTCTTAGGCCCAAATATCCTCCTCAACACCTGCAATCTGTGTTCCTCCCTCTGAGTGAGAGACCATGTTTCGCACCCATACAAAACAACATGCAAAATTATTGTTTTGTGTACTTTAATTTTCAGGTTCTTAGAAATCAGACGGGAAGACAAAATATTTTGGACTGAGAAGTAGCAAGCATTTCCGGAATTTAATCTCCTCCTAACTTCCTCATGAGTGTCATTTTGATATATGATTCTTATACCACTCAAAATTTTTTATTTTTATTTACATTAAATCGAATCCATGACATTTTTCAAGGTTGCGGCGTTTTCAATCTCATCACTGAAACAAACAAACAAACAAACAAACCCTTTCATACCTATCTTCTCCCATCACTTGTTTCTAAGTTCAGAAAACATCTTCACCGGGACTCTAACCCAGGACATTTTCTAGAAGTTGTGCCTATTATTTCTGTAATATTTTCGGACGGAACAAACGACATTGATCTTGGAGCCGTCCTTTGTTTTCCTTAGTTTTCGAGCTGCAGGAACCACCCTCAAAGGGTCACGAACTTAGGACCTATATAAAATTCGTTTCTGGCCTGTTGGAACAATCGCGCGAAGTTTGGTGCAAATCGGTATAAGCGAGCATACATTGAGCATGAATCTCGCACAACGTGGAAGTGACGACATCCACACCAAGTCTTTCTTCCGGTCTTCCTGATGGGGTTGGAGGGGGTTGTGTTAAGTGGGACACAAAATGAAGGCGTTTTGTAAAGATTTTTGGATATTCCCTGTGCCAGCAGTCAATTGTTTTAAGGCGAATTCACGCAGAATCGGTGCTGTGGCTCTGATTTCTTGTTTTTTGAAATGTTTTTTTTTCAATTTACTCCATCTGCGTGGTGGATGTATACAGTTTTGATTGTAAAAGCTTAAAAATACCCATCGGAGCGGAGTCCGAGGAGTGGACAGACACTCTCAGCACCGAATGTCGATTAAATAGACTGGTTTTCATTCACTGGCTGAGAAATCTTCAGATGTTTATGTCTGGGGTTGAAATTTTTTTAGTTGGATTGAACCGGCTGATATCTGTGCAATCGCGGACTTCTGTTTTAGGTGGTGGAACTCCGCCGAGTGTATTTAACAGCTGATTAATTTTTTGGTGTTCGTATGGTTAATAAACGTGTCTCTTACTGATTTCAGGTAGCTTTGTGTCTACACGCGCGGACTAGGAGTGACAGGACAGTGACGTGAGAATCAAGGAGTGGTGGCTTCTTCCAATCCATGCTAACGTTACGTCTCGTGTCTACCCATTTCCTGAAGCAACCATAGACGCGCCGTGACGTCACAATGTGTCGTGATCGAGACATGAATCCCTGAACTGGCACAGAACACACCCCACGTATGAACAGAACAAGTGAACTTCGTTTGTACAACAATAGCAAACAGATTTAAAGAACAAGTGATATAAAAGTTAGCTCCAATAGCAAATGATATCAGTGCTTTTTCATACATAAATAGTTTAAAAAAATAACAGTTGTTTATTTCCAGCACAGAAGAGAAATACACCGCGGACGGTTCTCACAAATAGTTAACGAAGCGAACTTTAGACATAACTTAATTCTTTCTATAATAATTTGTAATCATCCATTTGTTTCAGTCAGCACATTCAGAAGTTTTTGCGTTACACCCACTTGGTACTTTGTGGTTGAGTGTGTGTGTGTGTGTGTGCACGTGTTTTGGAATTTCTGACCACCCTGTGGAACATCGCGAGGGAGTGCATTGTGAGTATTGTATTACGTTGCATTATGTAATTGTTTTAAGTGACATTTTATGTTAAGCACCCAACTGGAAGGTGAGACAGAAAGTAGTTCTAACTGTGGACATACGAGGTGCGATCGGAAGGTTTCAAGACTGCGCGTATAAAAACCCGTACACTTATCTCAGGTATTAAATTCATCCATCACCCTCGAAGTAGTTCCCCTGGGAGTGAAC